TTTCACTATTCATTTCTGTGTTTCATAGTGTTTACGTCTTAAAAGGCTTGGGATATCATCCCTTGAAAATTTTAAACTTTAACATTTAAAGTGATTTTTCTTTTTTATTCCTATTTTTCACTAAATATTTTAATTTTATGTATTTATTTTAGTTTGGGTCATACTTCAGTTAAGTATTTTTTTTAGTTCACTTAAAACCTGGGGATGAAACCCAATATAATTCTATTAAATTAAAAAATAAATGAAATAAAATAAAACAAACTTGTAGTTCCAACGAATGATTTATTTTATGGAAATATTTCGACTAGCAATTGCTAATCTTGGTCACTCCTTTAATTTGAGTAAAATGCAATTTTTCTTCTTCCATTTCTATTTGAATTTCTTTTTTTTTTTATTTACGTTTTATTTTGAAATTTCCTTTCAAATTATTTTTACTTTAACTCTTATTTCATAAAAATGTTTTTAATACTTTTTTTACTTTTTACTTCTTTAAGTTTATTCTTTTTTGAGAGAGTTGTAGACTCGTCTTTTTCTTACCTGTCGCCCCTAGCAACAGAGCAGTCTATATCTTACGCCTACGTTTTCCGACCAATCAAACCGCCTGCACGCAACCAATCTGTTTTCTCGCTCATATGCTAGGAGCCACACGGCCATTATATAAACCGAACACGTGTGAACTTTTTAGAAAGCTTTTTCATTCATTCATCTCTCTCGCATAAAGATGTAACCTTCATAACTTCTTAGTCATTGCTGACCAGACGTTAAAGACAATTACCAACATTCACGAACTCTGAAATCACTCCAGAACTTTAACCAACTTTAGGAAGTTTTTAGAAATTGCCAACATACTCCACGTCACTCGAAATCACGATTTCACCGCGCAAAGGTACAAATGCTGACTCACTCACAATTAAAACTCAACCAACTCTGTGGACATCGATACTCAAACATTGCTTATCTAAAGCGAATTATATTCACTACCTAATATCAAAGTGCGAACGACCTTTAAAAAAACATTACAGTCAAAGGTAGATCACTCCTTAAGAACTCCTTCTAAAAAGGCACTTAATATTAACAATTTTAATATCAACACAAATCTAAAACGGACTGCAAATGAACGAACGATTACAAAGAGACATTCTGAAATCTAAAACATCATACACATTTTGCCAACATAATATATACCAATTATCCTGCTTGTATATTGTTTTGAATTGTATATAAATGTTTTATTAGTTTCTATTTGCATATGTCTTGTTCTTAATCGTATTTTAAATTTCGTTTATTTATTTGTTGTGGATGCAGAAAGTCACGCAACCTACAAAAAATTCGTTCTGATTCTTTCAAGCATAATTAATAAATTCTGCACGTCCACAATAGAGTTATTTTGATAAAAAAGTAAAGCCAGAAAACTAAAATTCAATAAAATATTAGATAATTACTGAAAATATTATGTTAATTTTTTAAAATTACTAGTTAGTTAAAAACCAAAAACTAAGCGTTCACTTCGATTTCGTAAATTTATGTCAAATTCTGGTCAACCATACTTAGCTCTCAACACCTTAGGTTGCCAATAAATCAATCAGCACGTCAGAAAAGCAAGACTCCGTGGTTAAGAAATGCTTGTATTCTACGCTTTATGCTATAAGTATGTAATATTTGTTTCAGATTAATTTAACTTTAAATTTGCAATTTTTTCTTCAAATAACGTGTCACAAATATACATATATGTATTATTTCTGGAAGATTTTTACAACCTAGAATTAACTTTTGCATGCAAATGTATCAAAATGGCCGATAATTATCGATTTTCTGAAAGCGACCAAAAAGTTGAAATTTCAATCAATATGATTTCTATCTGAAATATACCAGCGTATTTTGTTTGCTGAAAATAGTAAATTTAATCATTTACCTTTCAATTAAAGCTAAAAAGAAAGGATCAAGAATAATTTTTCATTTTTAAAAAATCATTTTAAACCTGAGGTATCGAAAATTTAGTGGAGGTTCCTATAATAGTGTAATAAATTTATTACTTAAGTATATTTTAAATAATTAAATGCATTTTAAATAGTTCAATATTTAAAAATATTTATTAGTGAAAATGATTAAATATTTAAATATATTTTAACTGTTAATAGAATTTAATTTTTAAAACGTTGGATAGATTTTCAATGATTTAAAGAAATGTGTAGTTTTATCTTGGATTTTATTAGTTAAGTATATCTTTAATAGTTAAATATTTTATGAAGAGCTTTTCATAGTTATTTATGTAAATGTCACAAAGACATTTAAAGCTAGCGACAATTTTTTTTCTTTTTTACACTTTCAATAAATAGCAGTAATAGCTGATTTCCAGTTACACTCGTCTGGATGGTTAGATAATCCCTATGGTAGACGCAAGTTCAGGCACATCTATATTTCTTCAATATCCACCGTACCAACCGGTTGTTTATGCTTCACTTATGATGAGCTGACCTTAATTACAGTTTCTGGCGTGATCAGTAATATGTTCAAAACCTCGGCCACGATGACTAGTTAATTTGTGCTAACACGATTTTCCAAGCAGTTTCGTCCGCACAGTTTCAATTTTCAATACTTATACTCTGAACCTTTTTTTTTTTTTTTTTTCAGGGCACACTTGTAGAATAACTAATACTCTGAGACAATTTAAATTCCAATAGAATATTGTTGTTGATTTGGAATAAATAATTCATTCTTTGTATGTGAATATCTATACTCTTGTGTAATAAGTTCTTGAAATTGATTTTTCCAATATTATAGAATATAAAAAATAATGTTATATACATTTGTGGTTTTGCAAATTAGTGAAGAAACGAGGGAATAGTCCAGTTACTATTTAATTAAAAAGTATTAGATATTTCAGTATAGTCGCTGAAGGATTTTAATATTTTTTATTATTTAATAAAAGTACTTTTTAGGATGCATTAGTATGGCCGGGTGCACCGGTTTAGAAACGCTATTCTAGACACATAACACATTTTATAAATCCTTGTCTGACAGCTGACAAGAACCTAAGAACTGTAACTTAATTTTAGGGTGTTTTTCCACTGAAAATCTAGAAAGTATAATAAATAAAAAAAACACAATAATAAAATCCTGAATAAACCCCCAGGCCCGAATAATATTAATAAAAACCTAAAGTTAAATTAGAAAAAAATAGTGAAAAATTATGTGATTGTAGAAACCCAGAAGACTGCCCATTGGAAAATATATGCCGCATAAAATCTGTGGTATACAAATGTACTCTCATCCATTGATAGTCCTAAAACTAATATGAAATACATTGGGTCTACGAAGAATGAATTTAAAACCAGGTGGAGACAGCATAAAAGATCCTTTAACAACATCAATAACAGAAATCAGACATCTCTATCTAAATATTTTTGGCATTTAAGGAAATGAATAAAACACCAAAACTAAAATGGAAAATTATAAACAAAAATAGAACTTGTACAACTTGGGATGACCCATGCCCTTATGCCTATATGAAAAACTACATCAAGTTTCTAAATAATGAAAATTTATTAAACAATAGACATGAGTTAACGGGTTTTTGCCGACATCATCAAATTTTCGCATTGAATAATTAGCATAAAAAACAAACAATTAAATAATAAATACAAATTTTAAACTCCATAGTCTAAATAAAATGTTTAAAAGCCCTACCCAATAATAATAATAATAATAATAATCCTTTATGAAGCCGTCAAAAAAACAAATGTTAGTTAATTGTGACAGTTTTATATACACAAAATCCTTTAAGGAAAGAAAATAAATTTAAAAAAATAAATAAATCTCCATAGACACTTAAGCAGACTAGACGATGTCATCTTCCGCTTTAAATTTAGACACCCCAACCTTACCCCGACTCGACCTCTTTGAATGTAACTGAGATATTGATACAAATTATTAACCCTTACGTCCCTTTTTTCAATAATTGCTCTAGCCGTTACCATAGTAATTTTAATAATGAATAGGCTTATAAAAACGCATAAATTTCAAGAATTAGGGTATGCATGCTCATTGGCCCCTTTTATTTCTGTCCCTATTTTTTTTTTTTTTTTGTTTAATTCCCCATCCCCTCCCTCGTTAGGTGGTCAGTGATGTCAGTTCTCTGGTTGTTGCGGGATGACTTTCGTTTCGTGTGTGTGGTTTCGTATTTGTTATTGTGTCTAAATGAGTGCGTGTTTGTGGGCGTGTTTTTGGGCGTGTTTGTTTTTTATAATGTTATAATCCCGCAATTATTTCGTCCAGTTAACTAATGTTTCTGCCACATTTAGGGATTGTTGGGGGGGTATTACTAACCCTATTTTGTTTTGTTTTATGTAAATAGTATTAAATCATATTGTAAATAATCATTGGGGTTTTAAAATTGTTGTTTTCCCCTCTCCCCACAGACTTTGAACTGTACATATGGGGACTAGTTAGGATTTCATAGAGAATTTGAGGTATTATGGTGGACACAGTAAGAAAGGTAGGAGTGAATGTGTTGTTTTGGTGATAGGAATATTGTTGGTATGTTTGGGTCCGTGTCTGTGACTAGCTAAGTTTAGAATTAAGACAGAAGAAGACCGTCCTTCCCCAACCCCCTTTTTTGGCCTTGTGCCACATTTTGTACAAACGTACGAATAAATAACTATTCCAAAAATTTCGCTTGAAGATAGAACAAAGCTTGGTACTTTAATTCAATTTAATTCAAATAATTATATTGAAGTTTTAGGCTTTTGTTTTGAAACATGAGAATGTTGCGGGGCCGATAGGGAATGTCAAGTTTTAAAGAAGAAAGATGTGAACAGCTAAGACAATGAGGAACAAAGACAGAGGTTTAGAATAACAAACGTCGGATTTATTTGTCGATCTGGACAAATCTAGGTACAGGAATTGTTTGTCGTAGTTCGATCGTGAAGTCAGGAAGTGCCAGTTGAAGGATCGTTGTTAGGGTTCTAGACAACAGCTCTGAGGCAGGCAGATGGAACAACGGTATTCGAGGTCCCGTCGATTCCCTGGTGTCTGCCCTTTTGTAAAGAGCGCGTCGACGTTTATGAAGAGAGAGGATCGGCGGAGATGCTGGAGTAGCCTGTTCGTCCTTAGAATGACAGTCGTGTAAGTGCGTAGCTTGGAGATGCTAAAAAAGGACTTTCGCATATAATGTGGCTAGGTTAGTCCTAAAAAGGACTATCGCATATCATGTTCGGCTGCTGCTGAGTTTGGGTCGACCCGCTGCTGCTGCTGAGGTTGGGTCGGCCCGCTGCTGCTGCTACTGAGGTTGGGTCGGCCCGCTGCTGCTGCTGAGGTTGGGTCGGCCCGCTGCTGCTGCTGAGGTTGGGTCGGCCCGCTGCTGCTGCTGCTGCTGCTGAGGTTGGGTCGGCCCGCTGCTGCTGCTGAGGTTGGGTCGGCCCGCTGCTGCTGTTGAGGTTGGGTCGGCACGCTGCTGCTGCTGCTGCTGCTGCTGCTGCTGCTGAGGTTGGCTGCTTCGTGCGGTCAGCGGCTAGAGGGGAGCACGTCGCTCTACCCCGTGGCCAAATCAGCCGAGTTTCAAGTGTTTATTTATTTTGTAAATAATACAAAATTGTGGCACAAGGCCGAAGGGGGTGTAGGGAAAGGTTGGTCTTTCACTAGCTATCCTATTCCTAGTTAACCACAATCGTGACCCATTCATTCATTACAATTACACATTCACCACAAAAACTCATCCATCCTCTATCACTTCAGCACACACCACAATACCTCATATACACAGGGGACCTACCAAACATCCCACCCCCAGCCGAGTTTCAAGCGAGCGTTTCCACTCAAGGGCCACTGGTCCAAAACTGGTCATAGCGTGTCCAAGCTGGTCAGAGCTTAGTCAAAGCTGGTCATGGCTTGTCTTAGCTAGTCCAGGCCGAAGCCAGTCATAACTAGTCGTAGCCGTGATCGAATCTCAGCCAAAGGCCGAGAAACGATCCTTATTTGTGAAAACTGGGCGAAATCCGCCAAAGCGGAAATCGCCACGAGTTTCAAGTGATTTGTTGGAAGAAATCGGCTGTGTTTATGTCCGCTTTGGTCAGCATCGTAGCCAGTTGCCAATGCCTTTTAATTGATGATTAAAAATTACCATCAGCATTTTGACTGTACACATGGGTTTCATTTGGACACCATGTGTATATAAAGTAGTTTTTGGTCATTAGGAGGACTTGTGTTTGTTTGTGTTTCGTATGTTTTGCTTTATGTGTATCGTTCTCGGAAAAACGCTGAGTCACCGGAAGTTAACGACATTCGTTCTGTTTTCCGCGGTGACGCTTTCCGATGTTTGAGTAGCCAGCAGTAACTTCCGGCCGGGTGCGATAGGAAGTCTTATGTAGTGAAGGAATCATATTTTTAAATAAATAATTATATTTAGGCTCTACTTTTGTATCGAGCACTATTTTTTTTTTTAAATAATAACAAAAATACTAAAGAACTTTGGATTATTTACCTAACGAGTTCTTTCCTATTTTCTATATATTTTCACACATATATAATATATATATATGAATATATATATATATATATATATATATATATATATATATATATATATATATATATATCTGTATGTGTGTGTCTGCGCGCGCGCGTGTGTGTGTGTGTGTACCTACCAAAGGAGCAATACCAAATGTTAAAGGTATTTTTAAAAATATTTTCTTGAAGCTTTTATCTTATTTTCAATTCTAATCTAATAGATTAAATTTGATATTTTCAATAAGTAAAATGCTTTGTTCTATCGCAAACCAAATTTAAATTCATTGAATTATTTTTAAAACACTAAAATCTATAAAATTGTCCATAATGACAAATCTTTCAACAAAACATAATGTTCTTTATTAAAAATTCTTTCAAAAATAAAATATAATTTTTAAATCTTTATTTAAGGAAGATTAACTGATTTAAAGTTACTTAATCTGAATTAAAACAAGGGTAGAAGTTTTATGAGGTTTTGATAGATTTCTAAATAATGTTTGTCATTTTAAGTAATGATAGCTGTAAAAATGACTTATTGAATACAATGTGAATGCCTTTTTATATATTTTTTAACTATCCAGTACTCAGAAAAAATAGGAAAAATATTGTAAGTATGCTAATATCTTATTAAATTTTAGGTACTTTGGCTTTATAGACTTACTTACGAAGTCACCTATGAAAGAAATGTCAGATAATTACCAATAAATTTTAAATTTACTACAGTTACCTCTCTTATTTTCTGATAATGTCATGTATGCATGCCCTTATTTACAAAAATCGGCATGTTTTTACATACAGAAAAAATCAAAATTATTTTAAAAATACTAGGTGGTGGTGAATTGTAGTAAGTTTTTCCATTTATGATTAGTAAATTTAGTTTTTACTTTATAACAATATCACCTAATATTACAGAATTTTAAAACATAGTTATTATAATTAATTTTTAAATGAAAACAATTCTTGGAAACATTCATTATTCATTGGAATTTTTTTCCTCAGATAATAATGTCCATAATATATTTCATTCATAAAAGCAATTAAAAGTTTTTATAATGAAATAATATCTTAGTTTTATTTCATTTTTATTTTACAATTCAGAGCAAATTTTACACCCACGTGTAGTGTTTTAAAAACTCTCTCAATTCTTATGTTAGCATAATGGATATAAAGGATTTCTTATTTTTATTTCAGATGCTGAATTTCCGTTGGCCATGTACCAGCCAAGGATTCAGCTGGACCGTCTGCATCCTTCTGCTTTCCTCTTATAATGTTCTATCCCAAAATTCTAAGCCGTCGAATGACACAGAATCTGAATCTGTAAGCCCAGGTAAGTTTCAACTCTGAAACAGCAAAATTATACCAGTCTTTTAATTATACCACACTGAATAAAATGTATTTCCTTTTACACTTTCTCATGTTAATTTGAATTTTCTTCATCTTTCAAGAATATATGGCATCAGTTCACTAATGAAAATACAAATTTTCAAATATTTCAGATTTAACAATTTGCTGATGATACGATGACAATAATGTCATCGGAGATTGTTTATCAAAACAATAAGCGTAAGGATATTTAAGTAAGGCGGAAATTATGGTTTCTTAAAACTATTATTTATTTTTCATCTAAATTTTTAATTTTGCATGTCATTTTAATAATTGGAACAGCTTTCCCTGTTAACGTTTAGAGAAAATGGCACAATGTTTACGGATATATATATATATTTGTGCAGGTGTTGATCGTTTGCATGTAGGACATAAATCTGGGCACCAAAAACTCCCAAAGGTATACTCACCCACAAAACAACAGCTTAGGCACTGTTGCCATAGTGGTGAGTGTCATGAGTTTCAAATCAAGGTCACTTCTCGTATTTGAGTCAGGAACTTTGAACAGTGCCATATATAAACAGGACAATTTTTAGTCCATCCTGGTGTCATTCCTGCAACCAGAAAGTTATGTACTGTTCTATCAGAATAATATAAATCCACATGATGCCACTGATATGGTCTGCAAGGCACAACAGCCAAACCAATCTCATATTGTATAATACATGATAGGACTGTGTCTAACTCTTTTAATTCGCTCACCTACAACTTTTGCTGCATTTCGTTAATAGGAGCCACATGTATTGAATGGTATATCACAAGATGTTATTCGTCATTTGTATAATCATTGGTATCGGACAGGTGTTAAAGCCCAAGGATGATATTAAGTAAACTGCTACCAGATACGCGTCTGTTTGACGCGTGTGCATACCTCAAACAGCCAGATAAACGACTTATGGCATTCAAAACTGTAAAGACAGCCCTGTTCATAGCAGTTTTATCAAAAACTGAAATGGTGAAACTTTAAACCGATAAAAATACAAACTTGAGACTAGTTTAGTCAAAATAACAAAATAAATAAAAAGCAAGAGAAAAAAGAAACATGACAAAGTGGTCTAAATGCTGAACATAATTGTGAAACTGAGGGTTTAATTGGGTCAATGAGGTAGCAAGTAGTTTGCTTGCACGAATGATATAAAGTTTGCAATCATAGGTCTACAGAAAGGTAGAAAGTGACATAAAATTACAGAATGATGATAGGAGAAAAGTTAATACGTGTTGAAACGTGTTCTATATAACTAAATACAGCAGTGAAAAAAAAGATATGTACAAAGGGGCTACCATAAACCAATGTTCAGATAATACATTAAGAGAGACCAATGCTTAGAGAAAAAGATTAAGAAGTTAAATAACATCGATTCTATTTAGGAGGATAAGAAAGTGGGACCCTTTGGTTTATTGTGCCGGTTCCGTAGTAGTAGTAGTAGTAGTAGTAGAAAACAAGAAAAGAAATAAAATAAAAACAAAACTGTCAACTTGATTTGTCCCTCGACCGCAACTCTTGCAGCCAAATCACAATTCAAACGATAGTCTGTTGTAACAGTCCACCAAACAACGTAATAGTCCACGTCACCTCGGTCCCAGCTGCACCGTTTTCTCCTTCACCCCAAAAAACAGCCGATGCAATCAAAAAACTCCTGCGTTCTCCTCGCTCTCAATCCGAATACCCCGCTTGTCCAATCAGCATGCTGACCGTCAAATCGTGTAGTAGTAGCACAAAACAACAAATGTTGGAGAATGCACCCCTCCTCCACAAAACAGCAGCCAGGCTGGCAAAACATCGTGGGCGCCCCAAATCCGGCTAGTGCGAACATTTATCGTCACATTCCGGTAATTGCTATGAACCTTGGTAATAGAACATAAAGTGTATTTCTGTTGGTTCTAAATACTGTTGATATACTAATACTGGAACCTGTACAAGTATCGATCTGGATATGTATTTATTTTCTGTTCCATTTAACTTGAGTAAATTGAAACACATATTCAGTGTTGCAATTTATTTTCCATCAGAGTGCATACATACATACATTTATATATATATATAAAGACGTCTCATTAAATTATTTAGTCAAATTTTTCTATTTATTTTTAATATGATTCTCTCATATTCATGCCCAAGCTTGTTAGTAACTTTATTAAAGAAAAAATGTTACCATATTGATGCATATTTATTTATTCCGAGTACTTTCGGCATTACCAAAATGTCATCTTCAGTGTCTTGTTTTATCTAAGAAAAATTTGTTGCGTTTATCTTTAATTTTTTTTTTTTTTTTTTTTTTGAAGTGAAAAACGCTAAACCTATGTATTGTATGATTTTTAAACCTTCTGATGTAGGCATATTCGTGCAGCAACGTCATATATATATATATATATATATATATATATATATATATATAGAGAGAGAGAGAGAGAGAGAGATTATAGTTTATTTCCCCAGGAACGGGATTTTCGTCCTGGTTCATCGGATCCTATTTTTAAACAGAAAAATGGTTGAAAAACTTACATATTTTTATTCTTATACGCATGTTTTTTTGGGAGGCAGCTTTAAAATGGATATCAGGTGATAGAGAGTGGGAGAGGAAGACGATAGATATGTGATCAAAATTAGAGAGGGAAAGGAGTAATAGGAAGATGTTTATATTTATTTTTATTACTATACGTAAATTAAGGGTGGTAGGGTAAGAGGCTAGACATGTTGACCCATTTAAGAAGTTTTTTCACAGGGAAAAGGAAAGTAGGCAAAGAAAAAAGTGAAGAGATAAGACAAAATAGATAACAAATAGGGAAACAGGGGTGGGGGAGGAAGAAGAAATGGAAGAAGAAATTATCATATTGCAGTGAAATTTAAGGATACAGTTACAATTTACAGTTATATTAAAGATTACCAACAAATTAAAAAACACATAAAAAATTTTTTCGCTATTGTTTGAAATTTAAAATTTTTAAAGTTTAAATTTTAAACATTTTTTATTAACAATATTGATAGTGTTGTTTATTATGTGATTTTTAATACGTTGGTAACGCTGATTGACAAAGAATACACACTTCGCACTGCGATAAAATATAAGAAGGAGAAAACACTTGCTGGATAATCCAGATTATGCAACAGAATGCAGGAACGATTCTGTCACTGTTGTGTGCAGAGCTCGGTCCATGCAACATCTACATTTATGAGAAGCGGTCTACATTACGATACATCAACTGTCTGTATGCAGACAGAAATAATATTTTGTTCGCTCTCTCTGACTTTTAGGAGTAATATGAGTAATTATTTTTCGTTTTATACTCACCTGGAATAATTTCCATTAGCATTTGGCTTGTATTTTCCCCCCACCTACACACTGTTTTCTTTTTTCCCCACGTTTTATTAATAAGTTTTATTCATAAATTTGTATTCTAGGTGTGTTTCCTTTTTCACCACATTATAGTTTCTCGCAATGTGAATTGTCTTGTTTATCATTCAACATTACCAACGTATTCTTCTTATAATATGTTGTTTGATAGGAATCTCTAAAGAAAGAAAGCCTTCTTGCATTTATATATATATATATATATATATATATATATATATATATATATAATGTGATTTTGCGTGTTTGGTATATATGTTGTTTTTGTAGATAATAGAGTGATCAGAAAAGACTGTTTCTTTTATGAGTGTATGTAGACGCTTGCTTGTAAATGCGTAGTCATAAAATGACTCTAAACCAATGGCCAACTGAACTTAGGTCATCTCCAATAGATTGATGTTCTAACCCTTATGCTAAACTAGCAAATATTAGTTCGTTCTTGTTGATACCTATAAGTTTCTGTTTTGTTTTATTTTTTTTAAATAAGGCAGAAACCATGGTTTTATAAAAATATTATTTTTTTCATCTAAATGTATAATCGTACATGTCATTTTAATAATTGAATCATTTTTCGCTGTTAACAACGTTAAATAATAGAATGATGTGAAAAAAAAACTGTTTCTTTTATGGCCTGTATGTGTATGTAGACGTTTGCATGTAAATGCGTAGTAATAGAATGATTTTTAACCAATGGCCAACTGAACATTGATTATCTCTTGCAATAGTTTGAAGCTCTAACCCTTATGCTAAATCAGCAAATATTAGTGCGTTCTTGTTGATACCGATAAGTTTTTGTTTTATTTATTTATTTTTTTAAGCTCATGGAAGTCTTCGACTCGTCAATGGAACAAAATATGCAGGAAGAGTTGAAATTTTCTATGACGGTGCATGGGGAACCATCTGCGGTGCTGATACTTGGGGGAAAAATGAAGCTAAGGTTGTTTGCAAGAGTTTGGAATTCGGGTAAGTACTTTCCTGATTTACTGACATTTTTATTTTCATTCAAATTCTGAATAAAATCTATAATTAATAGATTATTAACCAAATACACTTGAGGTTATTGAGATAAATTTGAAAGTATACTCCTGATAAAAAATATTAGCCAGTTTTGTTTTTGAATAATTCAAATGTTTCAGCCACCTATTAGCAGTAATATTTTTGACATCGAGGAGTCGATAATTTTCTAAACAAATATAGTTACACAAACCTTCCTTAAAATTCAGCAACACCAATTATTATAGAATAAATGAAATAAAAACAGTGGAAAGTAACTGAATGGCCAAGAAATGAGATTGATAACTTTTTTATTTTTACGCTTAAACTCTAAAACTGAATGATTCAAATATTTTACAAATATATGCAACATCATCAATGAATAACGCGGATGATAGAAAAAAATTCTTGCAGTTTATAAGGACCCATGTTGTGTACAGTGTAAACGAAAACTTCATTTTAGAGCAAATTTGAACGCTTCAACTTTAGAACTGTTGAGCTAATTGAGTGTCGAGCTGGAAATTTGTTTTTCTTCTTTTTACTTCAATCACAGGAAGTCTTATGTGGCTATCCAATTGTTACTGGTCTGTTATTGTAGGAATATCTAAACTGATCTGATGAATATTGCGGGCTATAAAAAAACAAAACAAAAACAAGAAATTCCCAATTTTGTAAACCTATAATATTTATCCAGAGTGGCAATATGCGTTCACACGAACCGAAACTTTAACTTTAGAGTCAATACACTCGCTTCCACGTTAAATAAAATTTAAATTTTCTCAAAAACAAACCAATCACCAGAAACCAACATCAGAGTCAGTCAAAGCTGTTCAAAATACACAAAAGAAATACCTTTTCCTAAAAAAGATTGGTTTTAAGATTGAAATTTTCGTTTTATATTTCGTTTACATTCACATTAATATAACTCCTGCTGCTATAAATTGGCAAACGCCATTAATTTTCAACAATCTTCATATATATATAAATTTGTAACCTCTGTCTGTTTGTTTGTTATCGAACTCCTCCTAGGGTTTTGGAGATAAACCCCCATAACCATATATATTCTGAAACTACATTGCACAGGACACTTGGATAAGTATATTTCATTTTGATCAAACGGGATCCTAGGCAGGGACACAATCCCAACCACTGAAAATGTTTTTCCCTTTGATTTAAAATAAATTTAAATTTGAACAAGAGAATGATTCCTATCCAAAATATAAGGAGAAAGCCAGAAGATGGAGGTCACATCAGCAAGATCAAAATGAGACAATATGGACGTCGAGTTGTGCAAGAAATCACCAATCAGTCGGTATTGCCTTAAAATATATATTTGTTACGACAATTCAACTGCCATATCAATGTTGAAATCTGCTCATCAATTCATTCAATCAAGTTTTGCATCAAATGCATATCAAACAAATTAGATCAAGATGTTTTTGCACAAATCCCCCACTGAATTTTCTTTCCCTTTGCTTTAAATTAAATTTAAATTTGAACAAGGGAATGACTCCTATCCAAAATATAGGAGGAGAAAGCCAGAAGATGAAGATCACATCGGCAAGATCATTGAGTAATATTGAAATGCATCATTTTTCCCCACAAATTATAACAATGTTTTAAAATCAACCATCATTTTCTTACAAAAAATGTGATACGCAACAAGGCGCGAGTAATTCGGCTAGTCTAATATATGAAGCTCAATGTTTGTGTACATTCGCTTGAAATCTTGAATATGAATTCAATTATTCAGTTACGTGTGTACAAAACTGTAATATCAAACGAATGGAGTTTAATCATTTATATTTCCAGCATGTATCTTACATCTTGTCAAACTCAGCAGTTCTTGCCTAAGGGAGATAAATCTTTTGTATGTTCAACAAATTTTTAAAAAATAATACTGTGTTTATTATTCATTTCCAATCTGCTCTTTTCTGTCTTTATGTATAAGTGATTGCTTTATTGATGGCATTTCTAATTAAATTGCATGGTTACTCAAATAAAATCATTTTCTGCAATTAAAATGGTAACGAAATGAGTATTTAGATCACAGCTTACAAATAAAGGAATTCATAAAGGGAATTACGCAAAATTGACATTTTAATAATATAATTTTTAACATTATTATTTTGTATTATTTTACAAATTTAACAAATGAATGATTATATTATCATTATATTATATTATCACATTCGGTATATGAAATAAACGTAAACAAAATGTTTGAACTGAACCACCTGCTTCCATTATGGCAATTTCGGTAATACCATTTTAGAGCATATGCAAAGAAAAATAAAAGACTGTAAAGAAAAGGGACTCAGCCAGGTGAACAGCAAGTATCATAGATTATTTTCATAGGATGATTGCAAAATTATATCAATACACTCACATTGAAATCTATTGTGTTTTTGTCTTAACGGCACAGTATCTGCGCCCTATGTTCAACCCCCTTTTGTACAATTTCTGGTGTCTTAGTGTTATTTCCGGGGTCATGGTTTTGAATTTAGTATTATCTTCTTCCTAGGCTGGTTGCCAACCATTGCTAGAGAGCCCAGTCGGCCCTGCTATTTAATCTATAGCTGGGAGAATAAGAGATAAATTCATATCTTTCCCAAGGGTATCTGAGCGTAAGTAAATGTAACAAAGTCGACTAGAATTCGAACTCGGCTTGTCGATTTCTCTTTTCAATTCGCTAATACTTACACCACCAGCACATCCACACAAGAAAATAAACCTCTTATTATATAAAAAAAAAAAAAAAAAAAAAAACAAGAAAAATAAGAAACAATGTCACTGATGTTGACAGATAAATCTCTTCCAATGTGCCGTGGGTTGACAAGAGGTAGGAGATCATGGCTCTTCATAACTTATTTTCATTTAATGATTTGAAATATAATTCCTGTGTTTCCCAAAACTTGATATCTATCTATCTATCTATCTAGATAGATAGATAGATAGATAGATAGATAGACTGGTTTATGTTTCAGTTTACTCAAGGTTAAATCTAAAGTTAATATAGTGGGATTGAATTAAATAATCGCATGAGGATGCCCCAAAGAGGGTGTATATACACTGTATTCAGACACTGAAGCCGAGATGCCGGGTTAGGACCGATAACATTGCGGGTTCTACTTTAGATTTTATAATGAATCTCTAAATATATAGCAGGAACAACAGACCAGACATGGCGTCAATATTCAAAGTAAGGACGAATAATAGACTTATAAATATGTAATATAGATTGTGACGATAAAAATCGTCTTGCACGACACCATAAACACATTTTTCTCAGATTATGTTTTCCATCGGCAAACATAGCAATTGATAAAATATACACTTTAAACGTTATGTCAGCGAAAAATATTTGTTCCAGAATGAGAAATAGGTCACTCACCTGGAGGTTAGCATCAGCCAAGGTGATGGAAGGTAAAAAGGGTTCTTTCAAATGATAGATAGATAGATAGATAGATAGATAGATAGATAGATAGATAGATGGACTGAGACATATAGATATATTCTAACAGAGAGAGAGAGAGAGAGAGAGAGATACATAGATACATACGAACAGAGTAAAATAGATACGAAAGACTGACAGATAGATAGATGGATACGAATAGACTGAGATAGATACAAACTGACTAAGATAGATAGATAGATAGATAGATAGACAGATAGATAATTAGCAGAGTGTAAATTAACATTTTGTTTTCCATCAGTCATACACACACACACACATATATATGTTAATGTAACAGCAAAATTGTCCAATTGTTAGATTAAGATTTGAACCGTTTCTATCTTAGAAACGATTAAAGATATCTCACTGGAATTCTACGATTTCTAAACGAAAATGACATGTTGATCATTAATTAATCATAGCTAAGAATCGGAAGCTCATAAAGGATTGAAATAAAGTTCAAATATATATATATATATATATATATATATATATATATATAATGTCAGAATCATTTTCAATATTCAAGATTATCTCCCTCTTTAACTTTCTAACTTTCTGTTCTGAGTAAAAAGGTGCCTCACAGGTTTCACGCACTATTTTTTTTTATTTTCAAGGCTTTTTTCACTGCTCTTTGGACTGTCATAGGTGAAAGTCCTCACTCACGTGCCAAACGCATTATGGATTGAGTTGGATCTTTTCTAATTAATGTCTTTATCTCTAAATTAAAATGATAATCCTTCTTTCTGTTGTGACCTCTTGATCCAGTTTTCCTCTCTACTGTTCCCTTTTTTTAAACTTATTCACCGTTCTCTTGATAGGTCTTGAATGGATTTTGAAGATGGAAGCCAGAGTATGAATATTGGTACCATTACTGAAGGCCTGAATGATTTTTTTCTCTCGCTCTTGCACAGTTGAGAAGACAGTGTGGCTAATACAAAACGATTTTAACCTGCACTGTTTCTAGCTGAATAACTCAAAGGGTTTTTCAGTGATTCTTATGACAAATGGTGTCAAGATGGCTAAATGTCTTATCTGAAAACCCTGTAAAAATATACTCATTTATCAGATCATCCCATAAGTTCTGTCCGAATTTTGGATAAAGAAAACAAGTGACCAAATGTTACATTTAATTACAGATTCAATCAACAATGTATTTTCCCTGATTATCTATGACTTCCTTCCATCTATTAACAAGCTTACTAATTCAATTACTGTAAAATTCTTTTGGCTTTGATACAAAGAACTCACAAATGTCAGTTTTAACCTCTTCCTGTGTTACAAAAGCTGTTTCTTCCAAATGATTCTGTAAGCTACGAAACAAATGGTAGTCTGAAGGAGCAAGATCGGGAGAATAAGGTGGATGAGGAATTTTCTCCCAACCAGGTTCTTCGATCTTTCGTGACGTGATTCTTGCTGTGTGGGGTCGCGCATTGTTCTGATGAAACATCACCCCTTTCCGATTCACTAGAGCAGGTCTTTTTTCCTCAAATCTTGGTTCAAACGCTCTAATTGCTGACAGTATATTTGAGCATTAATTGTTGCATTAAGTGGTAAGAATTCAAAGTGGATTATTCTTTGGCGATCCCACCAGATTGAAAGAAGAACCTTTTCCCATGATGTTCCCTTCTCGGCTGTGGCTTGGGTCCTTCCCCTTTACCAAGCCACTGTCTACAACGCTTAACATTTAGATAAAAGATCCATTTTTCGTCGCCAGTCACAAGTCTATCCAAAAAAGTGAAAAAAGTTGGCGAGAATGGAGAGAAGAGCAGATGTCATCTCGGGATTTGAGGTTGTTTTCAGACAATTCATGAGGCACCCGTTTTCCAAGTTTAGGAACTTTTCCAAGTTGTTGAAGATGACGATGAGCAGTTGTATGGTTTGAACTGAGAACCTCTGCCAATTCCTCAACTGATAAAGCAGGATTTTCTTCAAGGGCTACTTCAAGAAGCTTTTCATCAAACTCAACTGGACGTCCGGTTCGATCTTCATCTTCTAGGGTGAAATCTCCACCTCTGAATTTTGCAAACCTTCTTCTGCAAGTTCTTTCATTCCCACATTCCTCTCCATAAACTGAGTGAATGTTTCTAGCCGCTTCGGCTGCTGAGTTTCCTTTCTTGAACTCATAAAGCATTATGTGACTCAAATGATTCTTGGGTACTTCCATGTTAGCAGGGTTTTAATCAAACAAAATTTAATTTTATTGTTCTCTGAAATAAAATTTGATCAGTTTAAATGCATCTAAACATAAAAATAATGTTCAGCACCATTAGACATTATAAAATACTCTTTAAATTTCGTTCATTTTAACAAAAAGTTAAAATTCGGACAGAACTTATGGGATGACCTGATAGTTTAGGGTTTTTTAGATATTAAGCATTTTCTGGGATGGAAAATTATTCTGTAACACGATTTGGATATTTTGCTGCTACACCAGGTATATATATATATATATATATATATATATATATATATATATATATATATATATATATATATATATATATATATGCACGCGCGTGTGTGTTTGTGTGAGCAAGAGAGAGAGAGGTGAAAATGTGGATATGTATATAGGAACAGTATGAGCTCACTAGCTAAAACGATAAAGATAAACAAATAGATTAAATTAACATCATTTTTTTTGCAGGAATGGTGAGGTAATGCCAGTGATTGGCGGAAGCGGGAATATATTTCTTGCTGATGTTGAATGTAACGGTACTGAAGGATCGATCCTCAGATGTGACCATAACAACTTTGAACATAATGATTGCCAACATGAATCTGATGTCGGTGTCAACTGCGAAGAAACCTCTGATGAAATCACCATGAGTAACTGTAAGTTATTTCAATGTTGTGATCATCAAGTACAATGTCAATGATTAATAAAAAAAGGTTTTCTAAAATGGAAATGGTTGGAAGACATCTTAAAAATCCAGCACTAATTTCAGACCATTAATCATGTTATTATTTCCTCGTTCAGCTTTCACACCAGTTTTAACTGGTGCCTCTTACTGAAGTCCAATAAGTATCAAATCTTCTCGATATTCCAGCCCTAATTTAACACTATTATTCTACTTTTTATTATTCAATTCAGCTTTCACACCAGAATGAACTGGTGGCTCTTCCTGGAAAAGTCCAATTAGTATCAGCCGTAATTTAACACTATTATTCTACTTTTTATTATTCAATTCAGCTTTCACACCAGAATGAACTGGTGGCTCTTCCTGGAAAAGTCCAATTAGTATCAGCCGTAATTTAACACCATTCTTCCTACTATTATTACTTTGTCCACTTTTCATACCAATTGTACATCAGTAAAAGGCCCCAGGTAATAACCTGGTGTCTTTTACTGATGTACAATTTGTGTCAGGTATTCTCAATAAAAATTCAACCTGCAACCACGATAGACTGTAAAACGACGTATCCTGATTATTTCTACATGTAGCTGATATTGCAAGCATTTTATTTCTAAATTGTGCGATTATGCATAATAGTTTTAAACTTTCATTACAGTGTACACGTTTATGAAGTTTATATACAGTTAAAATATGGAAACAGATTTAATGGAGAGTCTAAAAATCTAAATTATGTAACAGGTGTAAAAGGCAGTAAATTCACTGAAGGCTTTCTTCAAAGACAAAGAAAAAATTATTGTGAAATGTTTCAGGTTCTGTGAATATTTGAAAATATGCTTGCAAATTTCAGTAGTATAGATCCATAACCTGTCACATTGATAAAACTCTCTTTTACACCAATATAATCTGATGTCACTAACTGATTTTCTCTTGGAGATGGCTAACAGAATTTCCTCGATAATTTGTCCCGATGATTTCCATTTACTGGATTTCCTCAAAGCAATCTACAATTCACTTAAAGTTACGTATTCGCATAGTATCTGTCTCTTGGTTCTTTTATAATTTCACTCCAATAAGGCAATAAAGCCACTATGGTGCAAGGAATTACTGAGTGTGAGAGAATATGAGAAAATAAACATTATTAAGGTAATAGACTAAAAGAACAGAAATTATGTAGACAGGAAACAACGATTGACATTGCATTTACATTTTTGCAGTAACCATAGCATTCAGTAGATGACCTATGAATAATTTTTTTGGGTGAGCTATTTCATGAGACATTTATAAGCATAGCTGAATATTCAGTTAGACTGATGAAATAATTAATAATATAATTTTATAATATCGATACCCCATTTTTTTAGCCGTCGGTGATTGCAGTTTTGAATATGGATCCTGCGGCTACACGAATCAGGGCAATAGCTCATTTAAATGGGAACGAGAATATGGATCTACGCCATCAGGTTGGACTGGACCTTCTACTGACCACACACATGGCACTACTTCTGGTAAGTGAAATTTTCTCCTATTAATATATAAAAGTCAAAACTCAAAGTCGTCCAGTAAAGAGGTTTGCTGCACAAGCTCTCTATTTTTGGAATCGCTGTAAGAATCTTCTCAATTATCAAATCCTTTCTAATGGGTTGTCCTCTAAGGCCCAAGCGATCAACGTAGGCATACCCCAAGACTCACTTGTCGGTTCAACTCTCTTTCAACTTCACATAAATTATCTGCCTAAGAGTATATTCCGAGCATTTGTGAATATCTATGCTGATGATACAACCAACGGTATATAGATGCACGTCCCAAATTCTAGATGACCATAGCCTGGCAGCTGATCTCTCCTCTGAATTTGGTCTAACAGTGGGGGATGGGGTGGAAGCTGCCTGGTTTACATTCAATGATTTGAAAACCAAAATAGGAACATTCCATCATCACTGAGCGGACACTGAAATTTTACCTATTGCTATGAACGGGTGTTCTCTCGGGGAGCCACACCCTCTGCCTTGAGCACCCATTTGAACTTAATCTCAACCTAGACTTCAAGTGGAACTCGTACATACAATCCATCGTTAAAAAATGTTGGCAAATAGTCGCTTCCCTGTATCGCTCCAATAAGTACCCGGCTCCTGATATCCGCTAATTCAGATCAGGCATAAAATGGGGTACTGCTGCCTATCCGTCTTCATTTTCCAGTATCGACAGAATCCAAATGTGTCCTTGTGAGTGATGAATTATTTTTTCACTCTATGACTGATTTCTCACAGACGAAACGTTGCAAAACCTCTCGCTTCTTTATTGCTATTTCTATAGAAAGTGTTCAAACGAACTATATTCTTTCGTTCCACCAGTTCTCACCTTCACGGCTAAGAGCCATCATACAACGTATGTTTTTAGCGAACGGCCTTCTTTCCCTTCGAATTCCATTGGTGAGATGTAAGTTCCATTCCATCAGCTTCTTCTCACGAACCAATGCTTTATTGAACCAACGATCAAGTGGTTGTTTCCCCGATCATTACAATCTTAACCTGTTTAAATCTAAGATTAGCCGTTATCTTCCCCCTGTATCTCACTAAACTACCTCTACCCGGGGTGACTCTTGAGCCTTGTATTAAACAGTTCTGAAAAATACATCTGCAGTCTTGAGTAAAACTTTAAAAATTATTAACCATTTCCTTAAAACAAACATTCGGAATTCATTTAGTGAGCTACTTCAGTTACGTTTTTCTTCAGCCTGGCTATCAGCCAGTACCACACTAGTTACGTTTTAATTCACTCCTTGGCTATCGGCTTTGAAGGAATGTGTAGTATCTATTCTTACCATTTTTATTAGTAATAGCAATATTAGTCGTTTCCTTATGTGGAAACATTCGGCATATATCGACCAAACAGTTAGTGATGCTGTCGGTTGAAATTTATAAAATCTTTCTCTTAAAATCTTTCTCTTAAAATATTTTCCCAAGTCCAACAACCGTTAATGCTTTTTTCCAGTGTTGATGAGGGTTTCCTTCCTTGCCTTTTCTTTGGCATACTGTGGAACATCGGTATTCTGATTATATCATTATCCTCTCGGAGAGTTACGTGTGCTACCCATTTTTCAACATTATTCGAGCGCTCAAAAATGAAATGTAAAGTTGATCCAATTCTTTCTTGATTCTCTTTCTAATTTTAGCAGCCGTCATCTTCCTGGAGAGAATTTACTTTTTGCCGTCTTAGGATTTTCCAGATATTTTAATTGTCAATGGATCTTTTCGCTTACTAGTGTTTAACTTGCCCGTTGTATTGTTCTCTTGAAAATGATATTACTTTTGATTTTCAAGTTTGGTGCTATTTGAAAAATCTGGAAATTGTTTTTGAGTTTCCGAATAATGTTGGATATATCTGCAGTCCATTAATTAAATATCGTGTGCACGATATCCTTGCAATCATTTCAATTTTTTTTTACTCTGCTACCTTCAATACACACAACCACTAAAATCTTTGGGAAATATCTGTATTTTGATTCTTTAAAACAATGCAAAATATGAAGTGAAATGAAATCAAAGACTCGTCTTATTTCCCAGTTTAATTGCGACTAATTTCACAATTGATTTATAGTGTCACACAATTTCTGTTGTTTTGGTTTGAAGTTACTAATATGTAACAAAATATCTATGCTAAGATAACAAGAATAGATATCCTGGAATTAGAAAAGATGAAATATATACAATACATTGTTCTCTAAGTGTCTCTTAAATGTTCTCTGTGAGTCATTCAACTGATAGCAGATAACTAGATAGGTTACTGCTTTTCAAATAACTGAATCAATTTTGTTTCTTATTAATTAGAAGCAGAAAAATATGTCGGTTATATTGTCCGAAGTAATAGAATTAAAATACTTCTACCTTTAATATATTAGGTTTAAGTCATTGTTACAATGTAGTTGAATATGGGCCTTGAAACGTTGTTTGTTTGACTACTAAGGCAGTACCATAGTGGTCCGAAGCATTTGCCTCGTTACATTAGTTAAGACACCTTACAATATCATATGTGGTTGAGTATGTGGTTGGAAAATGGGTTTCGTTACCACTAATACTGTTCCGTCATAATCCGAAGCATTTACCACGTTACATTAGTTCAGACGCCTTACAATATCATATGTGCTTGTGTATGTGTCTCGAATGCTTGTTTGGTTAGAACAGATGCTGTTCCGTTGTGGTGCGAAGCACTTGCTTCGTTACATTAGTTCAAGTGCCTTACAGTATCATATGTGTTTGAGTATGTGACTGGAAAGTGTGTTTGCTGACCACTAATGCTGTTCCGTAGTGATCCGAATTATTTGCCACGTTACATTAGTTCGATTAATTGTCGATTAATTTTATTGATCGACTTTTTCAAATTACGAATAATCCTTCTCAGATGAGGACATTCCATCAGAAATTGTCTAAAGATAATTTCGGAAGAAATATGTTCCTAGATTTCGATTTCTTAAGTCAGCATCATATATATATATATATATATATATATATATAATATTGATAAAACACGGTTTTATAACGTGTTGTTACCTATAACAGTTCCATCTTGGATCACTAACATCAGTCATGACATTTAAATGGAATGACTCTTATGATTATCTATATATATATATATATATCATTGTCTGTGTTTATGTGGTGCTCTATATTTTTAGTGGGGAGCATTTAATTTGTGTTTGCAAATTTTATTCATGTGTTGATATATGTCTATGTGGGTTTGTAGGTGAAAATGTTTCATAAATAACTGATATATAAAATCTGATAGTTTCTGATATTTTTATATACCTAGGTATATATGTAGACTTAAGAGATATATACACGTTAATCACTCCGTGGGTTTTAATATTGTTAATGTTTTCTTCCTCAGTAGTTTTTTAAGTACAAATTAGTTTAATTCTACCCATCTATTTTTATATGTTAAATGTATGGATGGATGGATGAGTGTTTTTTTACCTTTTACATTTTAATTTATATATATATATATATATATATATATATATATATATATATATATATATATATGGATATACGTATGTATATATGTACATAGATAGATAGATAGATAGATAGATAGATAGATAGATACGTTTTATATTTGTTTAGATGAGTGTGTCTATGTATATGTATGGATGTGTGTAAGTTTTTATGTATATATGTTTATGTGCACATATGTGTATGTATATGTGTGTATGTGTGTATGTATATATGTATGCATGAGTATATGTGTATTGATATATATATATATGTGTACACGTATATGTATATATGTGCGAGTAGATATAGATATGTTGTTGTGTATGTGTGTATCTACATATGTGTTTTGGGGCATATAAATAGTAGCTTCTTACTAGATTAAATATTCCTTAATTTTTATATGTTTATGTTAAATTTGTAACCTGTAGGTGATATTACTTGCTTTGTCAAATTTTCTTGATTACACATCGGTTCTCTTATAAATGCCCTTCGTCTTTAGTTTGACATCGCGCCTTTTTTTTTCCTCTCTCTCTCTCTCACCTTCCTAATTTTAAGTTTAGATCATATCGTTTTTTATTGTGCGTAGTGTCACCACAAATGTATACACACGTTTCTGGTGTCTGTTTTTTAATTTTAATTTAGGTAGCGAATTATGTATCGAAAAATGATTCATATATATCTGTATCTCACTCATTTAAACCGTTATTTAACTCCTCCCTTTAAAACTTCTCTCTGTTAAATTTTAATCCCCACATTCACCTTTAGGTCTTCCTGTCCTTTTTCTTCTGTTACACCCTCTCTCTAAAGCTTTCATACATTTCCCTCCCACACTTATTTCCCAATCCCACACATATACTCTCACTAAAATTTTGTTTTTTCATACCCAGAGTTATATTTTCCGATTTCTTTTTGAATTTGTAGGTCTGATGAATTGAATCATGATTACGATTCCAATGTAATAAATTATAACCATGGAATATTAATGTTTGTATCTTTTATATTTACAATTAGTTATTATATTTATCCTTATATATATATATATATATATATATATATATATATATATATATATATATATGTGTGTAAAATCTGTGGGTAAGTAATCCAAGTAGATCCTAATAATATAAAATATCAAAACTGATCCACAAAAAAGAGCTCATTATATTTATCATAGAGCATATAAATGAATTATATAAAAATGAAACTGTATTATCCCCATTAAAGTTTGTTAAAAAAGGAATTTTAACGTTCTGTTTTGTTTTTTGTTTTTACAAAATAAGAATTAAATGAAGGAAAGAAAAAAGATAAAAGGAAGAAAAAGAAAAAAAGAAGAAAGAAGAGGAACAAACAACAAATAAGGGAAATGTCATTAAAAGGGAGATATGGAGACAAAAGAAAACTAAGGTAGTTAGGTAAAGGTTGGACAGAAAGTCATGACATAGACACGTCTAGACAGAAATTAAAAACAGTTAAAAATTAACCATGATCTATATTTTACATATCAACTCATATTCAAA